GATCATGACCTGAGCCAAAATCAAGGGTCAAACGCTTAACCGACTGAACCACCAAGGTGTCCCTGGAGGCCACATTTACTACACAGTCATCCTTTCTCCTCTGTATTTCAGTGGCAGTTCTGTCATACATCCAGTTTCCACATATATGAATTGGCTGTTCTGTCCTTTGTAACCCCCTGGTCTGTCTCTTTCCCTAATGTTTTGTTTCTCTGTCTGCACCAAAACTGCATTGTCTTAGTTAAGACGGCTTTATAATAATGTTTGGTATTTGTTAAGTCACGTTCCTCTACAGTAGTCTTGTTCTCTGGGAGTCTCTTAAGTGATTTTTTGGCCTTTGGCATCTCCTATAAATTTTAGAATTGCCTGATTAAGTTCTAAGAAATACATTTGGGATAGGGTTCCTGGGTGACTCAGTTGGTTAAGCCTTCGACTCTTGGTTTCGATTCAGGTCATGATCTCACACTTCTGAGTTCAAGCCCTGCATCAGTACAGAGCCTGCTTGGGATTCTCTCCTCTCTCTGCCCTACCCCTCTCTCTCAAAATAAATAAACTTAAAAAAAAAAAAAAAAAAGAAATCTAGTTGGGATATTAATTTGTACTGCATTGACTCTGATTAGTTCAGGGAAGATTAATGTTTAAATTTTTTTTATTAATGTTTTATTTTTTTTTATTTTTTTTAATGTTTTATTTATTTCTAGGAGACAGAGAGAGACAGCGTGAGCAGGGGAGGGTCAGAGAGAGAGGGAGTCACAGGCTGAAACGGGCTCCAGGCTCTGAGCTGGCAGTCAGCACAGGGCCCGACGCGGGGCTCGAACCCACGAACCGCGAGATCATGACCTAAGTGAAAGTCGGACGCTTAACCGACTAAGCCACCCAGGCGCCCCTGTTTTGTTTATTTTTGAAAGAGAGAGACAGAGTGCAAGTTGGGAAGGGCCAGAAAGAGAGGGAGACACAATCCAAAGCAGGTTCCAGGCTTTGAGCTGTCAGCACAGAGCCCGATGTGGGGCTCGAACCCAAGAACCATGAGATCATGACTTGAGCCAAAGTCAGATGCTTAAGCAACTGAACCACCCAGGCACCCCAAAGATTGATGTTTTTACAGTAGTTGAGTCTAACTCTCTCTCTACCTGGCATAACTCTGCTTATTTAGGTTTTATATAATGGTTTTCAACAAAAGTTTATAATTAGAGTCATATATTTCTGTTAACTTTATTCCTAGGTATTTTTATATTTTGTAGTTTTTGTAAAATATTAATTTTTAAACATAATTTTCTCATCGTTTCTGTTGTACAGACATGAAACTGATTTTTAGATACTGGTTTTATATCTATCCAGCTTGCTGAATGCTCATTTATCCTGATATAGATTCTTGTGGATTTGGGGTCATCTAACTGTATAAACATATCATTGATGAATAAGAATACTTTTGTTGGGGCGCCTGGGTGCTCAGTCAGTTAAGCATCCAACTTTGGCTCAGGTCATGATCTCACGGTTCATGGGTTCGAGCCCCATGTCGGGTTCTGTGCTGACTGACAGCTCAGAGCCTGGAGCCTGTCTTCGGATTCTGTGTCTCCCTCTCTCTCTGACCCTCCCCTGCTCACGCTCTCTCTCTCTCTCAAAAATAAATAAAACATTAAAAAAAAACCAAAAAACAAAAATATTTTAAAAAATACTCTTTGTCTATAAATAATTGTGTTATTTTAAAATGTTGATCTTTTCCTTCTTCAAACTTTATTTAGTTCTAATTCTTACCTTCCTGCAATGGTTTCCCTTGGTAGGATGGAGAGAGGCTTTAAGTACAGTGTTACATTGATCAGATCTTCACTTCATGGCACATTATCATTGGTCTGAGCAAGACCATTCTCTTTTTCTGATTATTCACTTCTTCCATTCCATTTGACATCCCCCCCAGGCAATCCTATTAATGTGCATCCTTTTATTGGTATGAGTTCAGGCAAAAGAATTTTCTTGTGTTAATGCCCAAATAATCAGTTTTTCTGAACCTCCAGATATGGTTGAGAAGAGTGTTATTTGAATTGGGTCCATTATCCTACATGTAGCCATTAAATCACGCTTATTAATTTTGTTATTTTGTAATTTAAATAATTTCTGTTTTTATTGATTTTTTTTGTTGTGTCAGTTATTTTGATTGATGGGTTCTCATAATGATGAGAATTTGTCATAATTTTGTTCCTTTTTATTTTATTTATGTGTATGTATATTTAGGTATATATTTTTTTTTTCTTTTTTTTTTTAATTAGGTGTGTATAGAAGTTATCTTTTCACCTTTTACCTCCAGTCTTTCAGGATATTTATTTTTTGGATGTGTCTCTTATAAAAAAAAAATTTTAATGTTATTTATTTTAGACAGAGCATGAGCAGGGGAATGGCAGAGAGGGAGACACAGAATTCGAAGCAGCTCTGGGCTCCGAGCTGTCAGCACAAAGCGCAGTGCAGGGCTTGAACCCACAAACTGTGAGATCATGATTTGAGCCAAAGTCGAGACATTTAACCAACTGAGCCACCCAAGCACCTGGATGTGTCTCTTGTAAACATTATATAAAGGTTTTGGTTTTTAACCAACTTTATCTTTTAATGAGAACATTTAGTCCATTAATATTAATTGCTGATATAGGGGCACCTGGCTGGCTCATTCAGTAGAGCCATGTGTCTGTTGATTACAGAGTTTTAAGTTCGAGCCCCACGATGGGTATAAAGGTTACTTAAAAATAAAATCTTAGAAAAAATTACTTATATAATTGAAATTGTCGTTTTTGGCTTAGTTTGTGGGGTTTTTTTTTTAAACCTTTTCCATATTTTTTAAATGTTTTTTTATTTATTTCTGAGAGAGAGAGAGAGATAGCGTGAGCAGGGGAGGGTCAGAGAGAGAGGGAGACACAGAATCCGACACAGTCTCCAGGCTCTGAGCTGTCAGCACAGAGCCCGATGCGGGGCTCGAAACCACGAACCGTGAGATCATGACCTGAGCCGAAGTCGGATGCTTAACCAACTGAGCCACCCAGGCACCCCACCTTTTCCATATTTTTAAAAATCTCATTTCACCCCTCTGTGAGTTAGAAAGTTATAAACTGGTTTTGTTTATTTAGTGGTTACCTTAGAAATTTTAACATTTTAGGGGCGCCTGGGTGGCTTAGTCGGTTAAGCGTCCGACTTTCGCTTAGGTCATGATCTCGCAGTTCATGGGTTCGAGCCCCGCGTCGGGCTCTGTGCTGACTGCCAGCTCAGAGCCTGGAGCCTGTTTCAGTCTGTGACTCCCTCTCTCTCTGACCCTCCCCTCCTCACGCTGTGTCTCTCTCTCTCTCCTAGAAATAAATAAAAACATTTAAAAAAAAAAAAAAAAGAAATTTTAACATTTTAACTTACCCAGTCTCTAAAGAACATCTTGTGGCACCTGACTGGCTTAGACAGTAGAGTTGTTGACTTGATCTGATGGTTGTGAGGTCAAGCTCCACGTTGGGTGTGGAACCTACTTAAAATTTAAAAAATAAGGGGTGCCTGGGTGGCTCAGTTGCTTAAGTGTCCCAATTCTTGATTTTGGCTCAGGTCATAATCTCACAGTTCATGAGATTGAGCCCTGCTTTGGATTCTCTTTCTCTGCCCCTTGCCCACATGCTCATGTATCTGTGCTCGCTTGCTGTCTCTTAGCATTCCTTTCACCAGGAATACTGATGAAGTAGAAATTCTTGCTGGAAATGTTATGCCTTCCTTGTTAAAGCTGTCTTTTCATGAAGTGATTAAGTAAGACACCATGTTACAAACTTGGATTTTCCAATTATACAAGAAAGTAATTGATGTCGATTTGTTACAGTATTTGCCCAAATCTGTAACTCTGAGATTTTTAAGATATGATAGATTGAGTTATGTATGGAGTTACGTGATACTTCAAGAAGCCTGTGCCAGGTAGACATCAATAAGTCGGTCCATTTTGAACTTATGTAACATATGCTTATCTTAGGTCAAATCATTTTGAGTCTAGATCTTCCTCCTTTAGTTCTGGCAGATCATGAACAAGGAAAGGGTTTATATACCATAAACAAGGACAGTTTATGGTAACAGGAACAGTATAGCCAGATGTATACATTGTTGAGAAGTAGAGACTCATACTGCAAAAGAACTTAAGAGAACTTGTGCAACCTAGTACCCCAGAGTGAGAACACTGAATGTATAAGATGAGTTGTCATACAGCCAGTAAAAATGGTGTCTATTTTAGAATTTTTGGTGACATGGAAAAGTGATTAGGCTTTAATATTCTGACATATTTATGGGCATGAGGTTTTAAGAAATTATTAAATCATTAAGTTATATTCAAATTCTACTTTCAGAAATAGAAATTTTTTTAAGTTTATTTCTTTATTTTGAGAGAGAGCTGGGGAGGAGCAGAGGGAGAGGGAAAAAATCCCAAGCAGTCTTCGTGCTGTCAGCGAAGAGGCCCATGTGGGACTGGAACTCACGAACCACAAGATCATGACCTGAGCCAAAATCAAGAGTCAAATGCTTAACTGACTTAATTAAATTGGGTGCTTAACCAGGTACCCAAGAAATAGAAATTTTGGAAGATATTTTTGAATAATTCAGACTTTTAAGAAATATTTCTTTATTGGGAGAAGGAGAATACTGGGGAAGGAGATAGTCACAAGCATCATGTGGTGAACACAGTGTGCCATGTATTTGTATGTATGCATAGTTAAATTGGGAAACACCAGTTGTGTGAACTTTGGTTATTCCCAGATGTGGGGAGATAATGGAAGGGGATAGTGCCAAAAGGTTACTTCTATAGTTGCAGGCATGTGTGCACCAAGAATGGTGTGTGCTCTGATCCCTCTTGCTTCCACACTGAATCATCCGTATAAAAGGGCCCAGCATAGCCTGTTATCTTACTAATGTTGTTGCCTTACTAAATTGCTTTTTCTATTTTTTTAATCCCATTGTAAAGATTTTGCCCATTAATTTCATAAATATATATTTATCTGTGGTTTCAGGGCTTCAAGTTTAAAGATGTGGCCATTTACTTCTCTCAAAAGGAGTGGGAATGCTTGCACTCTGTTCAGAAAAGTTTGTACCGAGATGTAATGTTGGAGAATTATAACAACCTGATCTCACTGGGTAAGTTTTTGAGCCCATAAAAATCAGAATTGGCATTCTGGAATTTTGTTCTTTGTTATGAATTTCTCATGAGTGCGTTTCAAATTGCCTGGCTGAATTGATGATTCTTGCTTCACAAGGAAAGGATTATCCCTTATGAAATTAGAAATTGGCTGCTCCGTTGGACAACTTTTATCTTTTTTGCTCCTCTGACTTACACCCCTTCTGTTGACTCTCAACCTATTTACTCATCCTTGAAAATCATGGTTGGGGGCGCCTGGGTGGCTGTCAGCTAAGCGTCCGACTTCAGCTCAGGTCATGATCTCATAGTTTGTGGGTTCAAGCCCCACGTCGGGCTCTGTGCTGACAGCTAACTCAGAGCCTGGAGCCTGCTTCAGATTCTGTATCTCCCTCTCTCTCTGACCCTCCCGTGTTCATGCTGTCTCTCTCTCTCTCAGAAATAAATAAAACATTTAAAATTTTTTTTTAAAAAAATCATGGTTGGGGCGCCTGGGTGGCTCAGTTGGTTAAGCGGCCAACTTCGGCTCAGATCATGATCTGTGGCTCGTGAGTTTAAGCCCCGCGTCAGGCTCTGTGCTGAGAGCTCAGAGCCTGGAGCCTGCTTCAGATTCTGTGTCTCTTCTCTCTGCCCTTCCCTGCTCATGCTCTGTCTCTCAAAAATAAACAAACATTTAAAAAAAAAGAAAAAAGAAAATCATGGACTGCTTTTAATTCTGGTACACACCTAACATAACTTTGTCCCTTTTTTCTTTTTTCTTTTTTTGAGCAGGACTTTCTGATTCTAAGCCAGATGTGATCTCTTTATTGGAGCAGGGGAAGGAGCCTTGGTTGCTTAAGAGTAAAGAAACAAAAGAATGGTGCCCGGGTGAGTAATAGTGACTCCTATTGGGAAGACTGTGGCAGGTGGTCACCTAGGGAGCCTACAAGAAGGCGGCACATCTTAGTTATTGATAGGAAAGTTCTCTGAAAAGGTCTGAGATCTGGAGAAGAAAGAAAAAGGATGTTTCAGCACAAGGCCTCAAATTTTCACTCCACTTATCACTCTTGCTACCCTTCCTCATAATTTCTTTTGATTAAAGTGTACTGTTCGGTGGTTTTTTAATATATTCAGTTTTGCACTTATGACAACAGTCTAATTTTAGAACTTTTTCATCATCCCACAATGAAATCCCATACCCATAACTAATCACTCCCCACATCCAGCCCTAGCTCTTTATTTCTGCAGGGTTGGCAGTGATATCCATCTCTTTCATTCCTGATATCAGTATTAGTCTTCTTTCTTTTTTTTTCCCTGGTCAGCCTAGCCAATTTTGTTGATCTTTTTCAAAGAACCAAGTTAGAGTTACATTGATTTCCCTATTTTTCTTCTTCTGTTTTGTTCATTTCCCCTCTGATTATTGATTATTAATTATTTCCTTCCTTCTGGTATCTTTGGGTTTACTTGACTCTATATAGTTCCATAATCTAATTTGAGATCTTTCTTGATTTTTGTTTTTTAATAGAGGCATTTTAAGCTGCATATTTCCCCTTTAGGATCTGTTTTAACTGTATCCCATAAGTTTTGGTATGCTAAGTTTTCCTTTCACCCAACTCAAAAGTATTTTCTAATTTCTCTTATGATTTCTTTGACCCTTTGGTTATTTAAAAGTGTGTTGTTTTCTGTTTCCTTGTTGATCTTCTGGCTAGTTGAGCTATCCATTATTGAAAGTAGAGCACTGAAGTCCTTAATTTTTGAATTGTCTGGTTTTTTTCTTCAATTTTGTGCTTGCTTCTTGTTCTTTGGGGCTCTGTTACTAGACATACATACTTAATAACTGTTACCATTTATTTTTAGCTTTTTATTTCAAAATAATTTAAGGCTCAGGAGTTACAAAAATGCAGAGTTCCCCTGTACCCTTCACCCAGCTTTCTCTAATGATAAAATCTTATCTAATCTTAGTACACTTGGCAAAACCAGGAAATTGATGTTGGCACAGTAGTAGTAACAAAACGGTAGATAGACCTAACTCAGATTTCACTGGTTTTCACATACACTTTTTTTTTTTTTTTTTCTGAGAGATAGAGACAGCGTGAGCAGGGGAGGGTCAGAAAGAGAGGGAGACACAGAATCTGAAGCCGGCCCCAAGCTCTGAGCCAGCTGTCAGCACAGAGCCCGACGTGGGGCTCAAACTCAAGAGTTGTGAGATCATGACCTGAGCTGAAGGATGCTTAACCGACTGAGCCACCCATGCGCCCCACATACCCTTATTTTTTTATTTTTATTTATTCTTTTGGGTTACTATGAAATTTTATGACGTGTGGATTTATATCCACCACTGCCACATTTGGGATACAGAACCCTCAGCATTTTAAATATTGAAAACAAATTTTTTTAATGTTTATTTTTGAGAGAGAGAGAGACCAGAGCATGAGTGGGGGGTGGGCAGAGAGAGAGAAGGAGACACAGGATCTGAAACAGGCTTCAGGCTCTGACCTGTCAGCACAGAGCCCATCATGGGGCTCAAACTCAGGAATGATGAGATCATGAGGTAGGCTGAAGTCAGATGCTCAACCAACTGAGCCCCCTAGGCACCCCTAAATATTTCTTATAAAACATTTTTGAAACAGTACTATAATATTTAGGTGAATAAAGCATGATACGTAACTTTCAGAGTCAGTGCTATTTTGGTTATATAAAAAGGATGCTACAAAACAGTGAAAGGAACTAAAAGATAACATTGAATAACCTAGGAAGTAGCTGGGGTCTGGAAGGATGCTAGGCATGCTGGAATTAGTCTCAATTGACCTTGTAAGCCAAAATAGGGATTGTCTTAGTCACAGGCCCCTTCTGGGAATGGTGTGTCTGGTAGAGAGGGGCCAAGTGTGATTATGGTTTAACACTTGTGTCTCTTTCTGGGTGTTTTCTTGAATCCTGGCCCTTGAATTAATGCGCATTATTCAGGCAAGGAAGAGCCAGTCTTGACAGGAACCTGCAGAGGACTTAAGGGCTGCTCTAAATCCTTAATCACTGATAACCCTGAGAGTTTTCTTCTTTAGAAACCTGACCTGTGCAATGGCCAGAGAAATTGAGTATCTTTTTAGAGGAGATGGTTGTAGGTAAGGCCCTGCTGTGGAGAGAAATTTGTATTTTATTGTAAGCACAGGTGGGATATACTATATTTAAACTGTACTGTATTCAAACACACTTTGAATCGCTGAGAGAGATTAATAAAAATGCCAATGTCTTTCATTCATCAAACAGTATTTACTCTGTGCAGATACAGTAAAGGACAGACAGACAATATAGAAGTAAACAAAGTTTAATATCTGTGGAGTTTGGAGGTGATGTATACTGATGTCTGCAAGGTGAATGGATGGAGAGAGAGAAAGATACATGATAAGGCAATTAAAGCCAGATATTTATTGTAGAAGTTAAGTACTGGGAATATGGGAGTTCACTGCCCCAATTCTTTTGATTTTTCTGTAGGTTTGAAAGTTCTCATGGTAATGTTGGAGAAATAGATCAAATGACATATGATGATAAGTCCATTGCAAAAAATAGAGTAAGTAGAAATGAGGGACTGATTTGTAAAGAGTGGTTTCATGTTTGACTAGAGGTCAAAATGAAATAATTGAATAAGCCATATTAATATCTTAGGGAAGATATTTGCAGATAGAGATTCTGAAGGAAGGGTGTGCTTCACAACTTTGAAGACCATCCAGTTGGTCAGGGAGTGGAGCAAAGTCTGCTAAAGAGAGGAGATTGGAAGTGAGGTCAGAAAGAGATAGTACGAGACAGGTTCAGGGACAGTTTTATAGACCTCATAAGGACTTTGACTTTTGCTCTGTACTCTGAGAGGGAAATCCAGTGGAGAATTTTATGCAGAAGAAAGGCTTGATCTAACTTACTTAACAAGAACACTCTGGCTACTGTGTTAGGTATGGGATATAGGAGGGCAGCAGTGGAAGTAGGGCAGTCTTTTAGGGAAGTATGTTAACTTTGGTGAGAAGACGGCTTTGGACAAGGTGGTAGAGATACTGATAGAAGGAGTCAAACTCTGGATATATTTTGAAGCTAGAGATGAGAGGACTTGCTGTTAGATGTAATGTCCTACTCCTTTAGATTTCTCATTTAGTTGGTCTTGGGCAATTCCTGGATGTCATATTTATAATGTTCCTCCTCTAATTTACCAGAAGTGAAGAACTGTTCTTTCACGAATTCCCCTCATTTTCTCTATTCTCATCCCCTCCCTTCAACCTGGGCTTTTTTTTTTTTTTTTTTTTTTTTGAGTTTCAGTGCCGTTTCAGCTATTTAAACTATTTAGTATTTTTAGTTTGTTGTTTCCACCTNGCTAAAACGTGTTCCTTTTAAGGAAAAAAAGAATGCAAGATTAGTGTGTGTGTGTGTGTGTGAAGAAAAAACTACAAAACCACCCATAATCCCACTAATAGGCCTAACAACAATAACTAATTTTGTTTTTAATGTCAGCTCTCCTATGTGTACACATAGGATTATGTGATTGTAACAGTATAGTAATTATAGTAATTGTATATTAAGAACTGTTCTTGGGGCGCCTGGGTGGCTTAGTTGGTTAAGCGTCCGACTTTCACTTAGGTCGTGATCTCGCGGTTTGTGGGTTCGAGCCCCGCGTCGGGCTCTGTGCTGACTGCCGGCTCAGAGCCTGGAGCCTGTTTCAGTCTGTGACACCCTCTCTCTCTGGCCCTCCCCTGCTCGCGCTGTCTCTCTCTCTCTCCTAGAAATAAATAAAACATTTTAAAAAATTAAAAAAAAAAAAAAAAAGAAATTTCCTGTCTCCTGCCACGTGACCATACATCCTATTTTCTTTCTTGTTATCTTACAGATTGGGAGTCCAGAGGAGAAACCAGTAATTTATTTCCAAAGATGGGAAGTTATGAAATTAAATTATTGCAACTAAAGATAAAAAGACTTGAAAGCTCTATCCTTGAGTGCACTAGGGTCAGAGATAACAGAGAAATCAAATGCCACTTGGAGAAACAACAGGAGGGACATTTCAAGCAAGCTGAAACAACCTCTGGAGAAAGGTCTGTTTCCGTTCGTTGCCCAGTTCATCGAGTACTGCAGAGAGTTCATACTAAAGCAAAAACCAGTGAATTTAAGGGATGTAAGGAAGCAGTCAGGTACCAGTCACACCATTGTCAACATGAAAGAAGTCCTAATAAGGAAAAAGACTCTAAATGTGGAGAATGTGGAAAAGCCTTTAATAGTAGGTCAGACTTGATGAAGCATCAGAGAATTCATGAAAGCAAAAAAAGTAATGAAAATAAGAAATGTGCCTATATCCATGGCTCTGAAGTTACTAAACCTCAGAGCACTAATACTGGTGAGAAACCTCATAAATGTAAAGAATGTGGGAAAGCCTTCCATTCTAGCTCACAACTTCGTAAACATCAAAAGATCCATATAGGTGAGAAACCCTATAAATGTAAAGAATGTAGAAAGGCCTTTCCATCTACCTCACAACTTAATTTACATCAGAGAATTCATACAGATGAGAAATACTATGAATGTAAGGAATGTGGGAAAGCCTTTACCCGTCCCTCACACCTTCTTCGACATCAGAGAATCCATACTGGTGAGAAACCCCACAAATGTAAGGATTGTGGGAAAGCTTTTCGTTATGACACGCAACTTAGTCTTCATCAGATAATTCATACTGGTGAAAGACGTTATGAATGTAAGGAATGTGGGAAGGTATATAGTTGTGCCTCACAACTGAGTCTACATCAAAGAATTCATACTGGTGAGAAACCTCATAAATGTAAGGAATGTGGGAAAGCTTTTATCTCTGATTCACATCTTCTTCGACATCAGAGTGTTCATACTGGTGAGAAACCATATAAATGTAAGCAGTGTGGAAAAGCCTTTCGTCGTGGCTCAGAACTTACTCGACACCAAAGAGCTCACACTGGTGAGAAACCCTATAAATGTAGGGAGTGTAAAATGGCCTTTACTTGTAGCACAGAACTTATTCGACATCAAAAAGTTCACACGGGTGAGAGACCCCATAAATGTAAGGAATGTGGGAAGGCTTTTATTCGAAAGTCAGAACTTACTCATCATGAGAGAAGTCATACTGGTGAAAAGCCCTATGAGTGTAAGGAATGCGGGAAGGCCTTTGGTCGTGGCTCAGAACTTAATCGACACCAGAAAATTCATACTGGTGAGAAACCTTACAAATGTAAGCAATGTGGGAAGGCTTTTATTCGTGGCTCACACCTTAGTAAACATCAAAGAATTCATACAGAACAGAGAAGTGAATGAAGACATGTGGGAAGCCTCAAAATTTTATTGACATCTGCAAAGTCCTGCTAGTAAAACACAAACCCACCAGCTGATTTTAAGGGATGTGAGAAAGTGTTTGAAGATAACAACTTAATATCAGAATTCACACTGTGAACATAAGGCCTTTATTTGAGGGCTAGAATTTGATGTGTTACTGCTGAGATATTTGATAAATGTTAGTGATTGGGAGCGTTCTCTTCATGTTTCAAAATTTATTAGACCATCAGGATTCAATTAGTTTAAAAATGAAACAACTTCATGAATGTAAGGAAAGTAGGAAGGCTTTGGAAGGCAGTTAACATGTCAGTGACAGTCCTACAGGCGTTTCTCAGCATCAGGCTCATTTGCCCTGTGAGAAATCAGGATTCATAATAGAAATGTCATATAGAGAGAGATAAATTTGCTTTAACTTAAGTTACTCATCCGGTAATTCATACTTGGGAAAAGGCTATAGTAATGTTAAAAATGCAGCAGATTCTTCTATCCCACTAAAATCTTGTTAAATATTTGCCAGCTTATTCACTAAAACTAATCTGAACTGACTGAGAGTGGACAGGATTTAACAAGTGCTCAGTCTTTACTTGACTTCACCATTTTAATTCCTTTCTTATAGGGCAAATGACTTAACTAGGCCTAAATTTTCTCACTTATAAATTAGTAATATTAGTACCATCTTGTTAGCATTGTGAAGATTAAATAATTACATTATATCCCTTAGAATACCGTGTGGCTCATGTAAGTGTGTTAGATGAGAGCTGCTTTTATTACTTTATTTTTATACTTGTGGTTGGAGATCATATGAGAGTAAGGCCTTATGTGTGCAATGACTAGAGGAACATCTTACATCATCTTTTTATTGAGTGTCTGGTAATTCCTTCTGGAGAAAAATTAAAAACTGAAGTTTTCATTCACCTTATCCTCTTGTGTCAGTAGAGGAAAGGAAATCAAGGCAAATTACAATTAGGAGTGAATGACAGAGGGACAATTAGGTGTTGAAATTTGCAGAATGAAACAAAGCTATACCCAGGAAGATAACTTCTTTCAGTATGGGTAGAAAGTGGAGACAGTTAATGGCCAGGATTCATTGTCAGTTCACTGTACTTGGCGCACTGCCTGTGCTGATAGGTTCCCTGTAAACACATGTTGAAATCGGGAAGGAGGGAGTGAATAGATATTTATCTCTGATGTGTAGAAAAGCTCTCACAAAGTAAGTGCAAAGCAAAACAAACCAAAAACCTTGAAAACTTTTGAAATGGGAAAATAAACCCTCAAGCATCATGAATGAGAGGATATGTAACTACAAAAACAGAGTTTTAAAGAAATAAGGCAATACAGTTTTGGTAGACACTGTTGGTTGCCTACCCATTGGTGGTAGCCATTTTCCCTTTGCCAGGACCGCCTGCTGCCCCTTCTGAAGTCTAGCTTTTGCTGTCCTAGTTTGCTTAATGATTGCACATATATGTGATAGTCCTGGCCATAAAAGATCTGAGCAAAAGTCATATGTAGGCTTTATGTTAAATTTTCTTTCCTAACAGAATAGGAAATGGTCCTCTTATACCCAGGATGCATGTCTATATGTGTAATACCTGGAACTGTGGCCATTTTGCTACCACACGGGTAAGAGGCTGAGATTGGCACAGGGGATGGATTGGAATTATCTGCATCCTTGACATTGTTGAGCTGATGAAAAAATGCAGAACTGCTGTGTTCCTGGACTTTGAGTAAAATAAGAAACTCATGCGTATCAGTTTTAAGTTTGTACTCTTTTTTTTTTTATGATATATCAGAGTCCTGGAAAAAAATATTTTTGTGTGTATATACACCTATTTATTCACCTTTAATTTAGTAAGATGGGGAAATGCTTATATTTGGCTTCTTTTTATGGTATATCTGAAATTGTGGTAAAGCATTATTTTCTTAAAAATTTTTAGACATGTATATATATATATTCTACTTTGATTTAGTAAGACATGAGAAATATTTTTTTACATTCAGCATTTTATAATGTGTGTTTATATTCAGCTTTTTAAAGCATGTCTGAAATCCTGAAAGATGTTTTCCTGAATAAAGAATCAATAAATTGATATAAATAGGTATACCATATGATTCCTCTCATATCAGTATATCTAACAGATAAAATCTTCTAAGTGTTCAACATACAAAGAGTCACAACTGGGGCGCCTGGGTGGCTCAGTAGGTTGGGTGTCCAACTTCGGCTTAGGTTATTATCTCGCGGTTCGTGGGTTTGAGCCCCATGTTGGGCTCTGCTCTCAGCTAGCTCGGAGCCCGGAGCCTGCTTCGGATTCGGTGTCTCCCTCTTTCTCTGACCCTCCCCTGCTCACACTGTGTCTCTCTCTCTCAGAAATAAATAAAACACTAAAAAAAAAAAAAAAAAGAGTCACAGCTATCAGGCTAACAACCCTTTTAAGAAATTTGGAAGGGTGCCTGGGTGGCTCAGTCGGCTAAGCATCCAACTTTGGCTCAGGTCATGATCTCATGGTTCAGGAGTTCGAGCCCTGATTTGGGCTCTGTGCTGACAGCTCAGAGCCTAGAGCCTGATTCAGATTCTGCGTCTCCATCTCTCTGTCCCTCCCCTGCTCACACTCTGTTTCTCTCTCAAAAATAAATAAGCAATTTTGGAAAAGGACAACATTCAAATCAAATCACCCCCCAAAAAAAAGAATCCATTGTACTTACAGTATATGGATATTCCAATTAAAATAGCAAGTTAAATCTAGCAACCTATTAAAGAAAATTGTTTATTTGTCCAGAATATGACTCATGACCTGATCTGTCCAATTATTTTTTAAGTAATGTATAAATGTAGTGTTTACACGTTGAAAACTAAATCCTAAAATAACTATTTTTCCCACTCAAAGTGGTAACTGAGAAACTATTACAGCACATGCATATTCAGATGCTGTGAAGTCACTGTAGTTATCTACTTAATTGGATCTCATGGGCTGTAGATACATTTGGCATAATCACTAGTGGATTCCACTTTAATCTCACATTTTAAAAAATAATACTTCACATAAGCTTAATGTAAACATGTATTATATGGTAAACTAAATCAATTATAGCTAAGTAGCCCATTGGAGGAGAATTTATGATAAAAATCCAAGCATTTTTTATTTTTTTAAGTATGCTCTATGCCCATGTAGGGTGTAAATTCCAGACCCTGAGATCAAGAATCGCATGCATGCTCTGCTGACTGAGCCAGCCAGGTGCTTCCAAGCATTTTTTAAAGGAGGAAAATGATTGCTAAATTGTATCTGCACTGGTATAATCATTTCTTAAATCTGTTCTTGAAAGTTGTACATACTGTTTTAATAGGACAACTTCTACCCTTAGGAGGAATTGAAGAATTAATAAAGATAGGCAAAACCAGGCATGATCATAATACTGGTTTCATTATAATTGCTAATATTTTTTGATATAACATGTTAAGAGATTATTCTCTTTCAGTTTTTGCCCATGTATATGTATTTTCCTTTTTTCAAGACTTGAAAGTTGTAATCTAGTTTCATATAACATGTTTTACAAAAAAAGAAAACCAAAACAGGGTTATATTATTTTTAAAATATTTTTTAACTTTTTATTATTTATTTTTGAGAGAGAGAGAGACAGAGCATGAATTGGGGGAGGAACAGAGAGAGAGGGAGATACAGAATCCGAAGCAGGCTTCAGGCTCTGAGCGGTCAGCACAGAGCCTGTTACGGGGCTCAAACCCACGGAGTGTGAGATCATGAACTGAGTCGAAGTCTGATGCTTAACCGACTGAGCCACCCAGATGCCCCAAAACACGGTTGTATTATAAACATTAAAAACCTATCAGGGTGCCTGGATGGCTCAGTCTGAAGGGCATATGACTCTTGATCTTGCAGTCATGAGTTCAAGCCCCATGTTGGATGTAGAGATTATAAATCAATTTAAAAAACAAACAACTAGAGGCGCGTGGGTGGCTAAGTTGGTTAAGCATCTGACTTTAGATCTCGGCTTGATTCGTGACCTCACAGTTTGTAGTTTCAAGTGAGCCACACGTTGGGTGACTTTCAGCGTGGAGCCTGCTTAGGGCTCTCTGTCTCCCTCTCTGCCCATCCCCGCTTGCACTCTCAAAAATGGATTTAAAAACAGTAACAACAGCTACATTTATACTCTGAATTGCCATTACCAAAGCCTTCCATGCTTTTTGCCGTTCTCAAGAAGCATGCCCACATCTAGGAAGTTTGTTGTGGTGGTGGTGGTGGTGGGGGGGTGTGTGTGTGTAGTGTAATTTAGTATAAATGGGATCATGCTTACACATTGAGGTGCAATCTCCTTTTCTCACTTGGTAATTTACCATGACTGGGCTTCCAGCCAGCCAGTGCCTACAAGTGTAACTTTTTAGCTTTTAGACTCTTAAATCATAAAGACAGAGCATAATATATGCAGCCCAGTCTTCTACCACTTCACTTCAGATTTGTTATTTTACAAATAATTGTACAATTTTACTACACGTGTGTTGTTTCATGTTGGTGTTTGTGTTGAGTGGATGGATTCCTACCAGTTGGATTCCTTGCCTTACAACATAATGTATTTTAAATGTAGTAGTTAATACCTTATTATTTTCTGAAATTAACCATTAATCTAGGAATATATGTCCATTCCCAACAACTTCAGTGAAGAATGAATCTTTTGTTCCCCCCCAATGTTTTGCTCCTACAGAAAAAATAAGGAAAAATAGAGAAATGAAAGATATCTTACATGAATTTTTAAATTTGTAATGTAGAAATATTGTTCCCTACTATATTATTATCACACATTATATTCCGAAAGTTAAAATTTTTTTAAATGAGGCCTTTTAATTAATGATTATTCATTTTAGCTTTCTCTTCTGGATTGGTAACGTGCAAACATAAAATTTTTTAAATTTAGCCCAGATTAAGTGCCTACTCAAATCAACTTCTGTGAAGTATTTGTGGAACCAGTTGCTGTTTTGCAAGATTCAGTTTAACTAAGTAAGAATCTTAAAACAGTCAATAATATAAAACATTAGAAATAAGTAATTCCATAGAGGAAGAAATAAAAGAACCCAAATGGTAATGGACTTCACTTAAAAAAAAAAAAAAAGAATGAGTCTTTTGTTAAGTTGAATGAAGAGGGTGCTTGGGTGGCTCAGTGGGCTAAGCATCCAACTTCAGCTCAGGTCATGACTCATGGTTCATGAGTTTGAGACTCACATTGGGCTCTATGCTGACAGCTCAGAGCCTGGAGCCTGCTTCTGATTCATTCTCTCTTTCTCTCTCTCTGCCTCTCCCTTGCTTGTGCGTGCTCTCTCTCTCTCTCAAAAATAAATAAACATTAAGAAAAATAAAATAAGGGCTCCTGGATGGCCAAGTTGGTTGCCCGTCCGACTTCGGCTCAGGTCATGATCTCACAGTCCATGGGTTTGAGACCCGCATCGGGCTCTGTGCTGACAGCTCAGAGCCTGGAGCCTGTTTCAGATTCTGTGTCTCCCTCTCTCTCTGACCCTCCCCTGCTCATGCTGTCTCTCTCAGAAATAAATAAAACATTTAAAAATTTTTAAAATAAAAATAAAATTTTTAAAAATGAAGAAAAAAAGTGCCTTAATTTGCATTTTCTTAACTGCTGGTGAGGTTGAACATTTATGCCTAAGAGTTATTTGAATTTTGTTGCCGTGAATTGCTTGTTTTTATGTATTCCATTTTTTCTATTTTTAAATTTATTCATTTTTTAAATGTTTTATTTATTTCCGAGAGAGAGAGACAGCATAAGCAGGGGAGGGTCAGAGAGAGGGAGATACAGAATCTAAAGCAGGCTCCAGGCTCTGAGCTAGCTGTCAGCACAGAGCCTGACAAGGGGCTCAAACTCACCATCTGTGAGATCATGACCTGAGCTGAAGCCGGTTGAACGCGCTCAACTGACTAAGCCACCCAGGCGCCCATGTATTCCGTTTTTTAAATTGGAGTAGTTTTTGAAGGAGTTTGTAGAAACTTTGTTACATACTTTGCAGTTGGTTTTCTTAGTCTAGCATGTATTTTTTACCTTTTTTAATGGCAAAAGAAACCAACAGACTTTTTCTGTGAAGGGTCAGGCAGTAAATATTTTAGGCTTTGTGGTCATAGAGAATCTTCTCTGCCTTTGTAGTGTGAAAGCGTACATGAACCAGTGGTCTTAACCAGAGGTAGTTTTACCTTTCCTACTCCTAATCCCAGGAGACATTGGGCAGTGTCCAGAGACATTTTTGGTTGTCAGTTTGAAGGGGAGGGCTGCTGTCATCTAGTGGGCAAAGGCCAGGGATGCTCTGAATACCCTGTAATGCATAGTACAGCCCCTCACAACAGATCTGGGGGTGGCTCAGTTGATTAAGCGGGTCTGACTTCAGCTCAGGTCATAATCTCACGGTTGGTGGGTTTGAGCCTCGCGTTGGGCTCTGTACTGACAGCTCAGAGCCTAGAGCCTGCTTCAGATTCTGTGTCTCCCTCTCTTTCTGCCTCTTTCCCACTTGTGCTTTCTCTTTCTCTCTCTCTAGATAAATAAACATTAGAAAAAATGTTTAGAATTATCTGGTCCAAAATATCATTAGTGCTGAAGTTGAGAAATCCTGAATGTAAGAAAATGGGCATGGCTATTTTCCAATAAAATTATTTACACAAACAATCAATAGGCCATATTTGGCCAGCAAGCTGTAGTTTGCTCAGCACGTTTTAAATATCTTTTTTGCTGTATGATATCTACTTTTATGGTATTGTTCCAGTATTCTTCTAATTTTTCCAAACTTTCTTATTTTATGCTTTTAAATTTTCTTGACTAAATAATTCAGAAAAACAGTAGCACCTGTATAACTGGTGCTTACTAATTAGACATCTAATTGTTTTTTATTAAAATTTTATAAAAGAAGTAAATCATTTCATAAATAAGTCTTGTCTTTTCCCTTCAGTCTTGCTCTTCTCCCTGTGTCTGCAGAGGCAATAACTTGGTGAACATAATATCTGTAAAATCAATACTTAAGTGTATACACAGATGGCACATATGGGTTTCCAAGTAACAAAATGGTGATACATATTTCTGCAATTTTTCTTATTGACAATATGTGAGATCTCAAACTTGAAAAATACCTAATTTTAATGTGCTGTGTTGTGTTTTTTATACAGTTTATTCATTGAAGTCTCTTTATTGGTGAAATAGAAAACAATTGCAGATAAGAAAAATCATTTCTATATATTTTAGCAAGGAATTTACTAAAGAATATTTTGTCATTTGAAAAATTCTCAGAACACCAAGGAATTAGACTTAAGGGCTGTACAATCCAGAAAAAAAGTAAGGATAAAGGTCCAGATATACAACAAATATAAAGGCTCAGATACACAGTTTCTTGAATAGTACTTGGATGTAGTACTGTTAAAGAAAATCTATTGCTACTTTATGCTTCTCCCCTAATGTTCTAAGGACTGGGAGCTGGAAACTTCCAACAGCTGCCATAGGGGAACCAGTCACTCCTGCCACTGCGAATCCTATCCTTCCATATGCCACCACCACTCCATTATGCTCACTTCCTCCGCCTCCAAGTTCAGCTAGTACCTGCTGGAACCTAGATTGCATGCCAACTCCCACCTGCAGTGGAGTCCAGGTGAAGTATGTGGATTGTGATGAGAAATCACAATTTGGGACGAGATGACGGATTCATTCTTGTCTGACATGATCCCACTGAATCTGGTGGAACAAGTACATTTGCTGACCCTGGATGGAATCATGGATAGACCATACCCTGACTGAGTCCACCATATAAATCAAAACTGTAAGCGTTGTTTATGGATGGGGTCTTCCCTCCTTCAGCTCAGGCATGTTGCAGGGCGCGTGAGATGCCAGATGAGGAAAGAAGACATGGCTTCTGCCTTTCTGGTCCTCGTTCTCTTCCAACTTGCTGTCCCTAGAAAACTGTTCAGAGAAAAAAATTAATTTTTCTTAGTATAAAGCTAGGTTGGGTCATTTTATATTGGTTCTTAAATATTATTACATTAGTTACACATTATTAATACGCATGTACGAAGAAGAAAGGGCTTTCTCTCCTCATCTACTACTCTCCTGCAAATGCAATGGCCCAGAACTTTTTACCATTTTAATCACAGGGCAGGTCAGCCCATTAGAAAGAGATATACTAATCTGATTACACTGCAATTTATTCCCTACTCTACTGCCAACTCCCACTCTTCATCCTTCATTCAGTTATATGAGAAGGATCCAGGAAAAATTCAAGATAATGCCCAACTCCAGTGGAAGAGGTAAGCTAATGGATGAAATACAACCAAAGTGAAATTCTAAGAGGGGCACTTACCTGGCCCGATTGGTAGAGCATGCAGTTCTTGACCTCAGGGTTGTAAGTTTGAATCCCACTTTAGGTGTAGAGATTATTTGAAAATACAATCTTAAGGGGTGACTGACTGGCTTAGTCAGAAGAGCATGCAACTCTTGATCCTGGCTGGGGTCATGAGTTCAAGTTCCACATGGGGTATAGAGTTTACTTAAGTAAAGACAACTTTTTAAAAAATCATAAATGTGAAACATAATTGACCTTACAGGCCATATTAAAATTTTAAGTGACAACATACAAAACTAAGTGCATACTATAATTACAGTGATTTTCACCTCTGAGTTTATCCATTTGTCTGTTTTGTTTCCAGTTTTTGGCTATTATAAATGTAAAATATTCTTTCTTAATTGGAGTACAGTTGACATCTGTGTAGTACATGCTTCATTAAACTAAGGAGATTCTCTGAAATAACTCATTCAATACTCATCCCTTCTGTGAATGCAAAAAATAAAATAAAAAATAAATCATGCTAATTAACCTCCTTGTTTACTACAATAGGTCTTGCTTTCATTTATAAACCACAATTTCACTATTATAGAGCCTGGTGGCTTTTGATGGCCAGAGAGATCTTTAGAAAGATCTTTAGAGAGATGCAGCAATGTTATATTAAGGGAAATAGTGAATTTTTCAAGATAAAAAAGACTGTTAAGCCTGAAACAATCCGTTAATGACTGACAGCAAAAATGGCAAGTAATTAGTTGTTCCCTGTATTTGATTGAACTAAAAAACATTGTCAGGAGTGATCTTAAGGCTTTGATTAAGTGAATAAATATACAATTTCCTTAGTGTTGAATCCAAGTTAGCTTGTGGTCAGTCAGCTAAAAAATTGAACCCTAACAAAACCCTGCTTATCTTCATGCTAACATTTTTACATAGTTAAAATGTGTCAGTGTCCTCCAGCCGATCACTACCAGGAACATTTCTTGTATTCAAACAAGCTGGGTTTACTGCTCATTGTAGCAAAGGGGAATAACAACATTGAGTTTGTGTTTATTAATTTAGAGAAGGTTTAAGGAAGTGGGGCTTTGTTCTGGATTGGATGTTGTCAGGAATCAGGTTAATTCCATAACTGCATATCTTAAATCTTTAAAAAAATTTTAATGTTTATTCATTTTTGAGAGAGAGCACGAGTGGGAGAGGGGCAGATAGAGGGAGACACAGAATCTGAAGCAGGCTCCAGGCTCTGAGCTGTCAGCACAGAGCCTGACATGGGACTCAAGCCCATGAACCACGAGATCACAACCTGAGCCAAAGTCGGACGCTCTACCGACTGAGCCACCCAGGCGCCCCTTTATAAATCTTATCTGTAAGGAGGGAAGACTAAAGGAAGGCTAAAATGGTAATTGGTAAAGAAGTGGCAGTCGTTTCATATCAGATAAAGGGTTAGTATCCACAATCTATAAAGAACTTTCCTAACTTAACACCCAAAAAGCAAAAAAATCCAGCCAAGAAATGGGTAGAAGACATAAATAGATACTTTTCCAAAGACATCCAGATGGCTGACACATGAAAAGATGCTCAACATCACTCATCATCAGAGAAATACAAATCAAAACCACAGTGAGATACCACCTCACACCTGTCAGAATGGCAAAAATTAACAGCTCAGGCACCAACAGATGTTGGTGAGGATGCAAAGAAAGGGGAACCCTCTTATACTCTTGCTGGGAAGGCAAACTGGTGTAGCCACTCTGGAAAACAGTATGGCAGTTCCTCAAAAAGTTAAAAATAGAACTACCCTATGACCTAGCAGCTGCACTACTAAGTATTTATCCAAAGGACACACAAATGCTAATTCGAAGGGGCACATGTACCCCAAAGTTTATAGCATTGCTATCATCAATAGCCAAATTATGGAAAGAACCATTGACTGATTAATAGATAAAGGGGTATGGTATATGTATGCAATGGAATATTACTCAGTGATCAAAAAGAATGAAATCTTGGGGCGCCTGGGTGGCTCAGTCAGTTAAGCGTCTGACTTCGGCTCAGGTCATGATCTCACGGTTCATGGGTTCGAGCCCCGTGTCGGGCTCTGTGCTGACAGCTAGCTCAGAGCCTGGAGCCTGCCTCATATTCTGTGTCTCCCTCTCTCTCTGACCCTCCCCTGCTCACGCAGTCTTTCTCTTACAAACAAATAAAACATTTAAAAACAACAAAATCTTGCCATTTGCAACAATGTTGTTGAAACTAGAGTGTATTATCTTATGTTAAGCAAAATCAGAGAAAGACAAATATATGATTTCACTCATACATGGAATTTAAGAAACACAACAGATGAACATAGAGGAAGGGATGGAAAAATAAAAACAGGGAGCAAACCATAAAAGACTCTTAAATTCAGAGAATAACCAAGATTGCTGGAGGGGAGGTACGTGGGGTGATGGGCTAAGTGGGTGATGGACATCAAGGAAGGCACCTGTTGGGATGAGCACTGAGTGTCATATGGAAGTGACGAATCATTGGATTCTATTTCTGAAACCAATACTACACTGTATGTTATCTTGAATTTAAATAAAATAATTTTAAAAAGAAGTAGCATTCATTCATGCTATCCAGGAGTATGTTTAGCATTTTGTGGCTTGAATAATGTTCACATTTCGTATGTGTTTAGATATGATTACAGAGTGATCTTGTTTTTGTGTTGGTCCATCAGGGTCACAGAATTGCGTATCTAATGTTGATGTTATGTGGAATCACTTATGATCAACAGGAAAACACCGAGATGTCGTTGATAGTACCAGGCCACCTCCTGCATGTCAGAGGCAGCTTTTCTCTTTCTTAAGTGCATAAAGAGTATAAATCATAAGTATACAGCTTGATATCACTTTATCAACTGTATTAAGTTATATACAATAAATTGCACCCATTTTAATTATACAGTAGAGCTTTGAAAGGTATTACCCATGTAATTACCATGACAATTAAGATGCAGAACATTTCTATTGCTTGAGAAAATTCCTCATGGCTGTTTACAGTTAACTTCTCCCACCATACCTTGTGCCAGACAACTACTGATCTGCTCTCTGTCACTGTAGATTAGCTTGCATTTTCTGGAATTTCACAAAAAGAAATCATACAGTGTTTTATCCATTTGTGTGTGGCTTTTTCAGAGTGCTTTTGGCATATGGTTTTATTTCTTTTGAGTATGTTAGCAGGATTGGAATTCCTCAGTTGTTAACTTTATATTTTACTCTGTTAGAAATTGCTGGGGCACAGGGGTGGGTCAGTTGGTTAAGCACCTGACTTCAGCTCAGGTCATGATCTCACAGTTTATGAATTCGAGCCCCACGTTGGGGTCTGTGCTGACAGCTCAGAGCCTGGAGCCTGCTTCGGATTCTGTGTCTTCCCTTCTCTCTGCCCCTCCCCTGCTCATACTCTGTCTCTGTCTGTCTGTCTCTCAAAATAAACATTAAAAAAAGAAAGAAACTGCTAACCTGTCTTCAACAGAGGTCATTTCATTTTAAATTCCCATATCTCTCCCATATGTAGAGTTCTAGTTGCTCCATATTCTCACCAACACTTTGTACTGTCAATCTTTTCCACTCTCAGCCTATACTATCAATCTTTTTAATTTTAGCTATTCTACTGCTTGAGTCGTGGTCTCTCATTGTGGGTTTTTGCTTTTGTTTTTTAAGTAGGCTCCATGCCCAACATGTGGCTTGAACTCACAATACTGAGATCAAGAGTTGGATGCTCTACCTCCTGACCTAGGTGCCCCTGATTGTGGTTTTAACTGGCATTTCCACGGTAACTAATAATGTTGAGCATCCTTTTGTGTGTATATTGGCCACTCTTATATCTTCTTTCTGAAATATCATTAAGACTGAAGGTTTTGTTGCAGGTCAGTATTTACCTCAAAAAACCAAATAGGGACCAGAGACAGGTTCTCAATGTATTGGATACTGCAGAGAAATAGTAACAGTTGGGATACTTAGGAGGTAGAAGTCTTAAGACTATACACCTGAATAATGGAAAGGTGTATAGGAACCTATTGGATTCAAAATATGATCTATAAGACAAGATTTAAAAATTTTTTAATGTTTTATTTATTTCTGAGAGAGAGAGAAACAGCGTGAGCAGCGGAGGGTCAGAGAGAGAGGGAGACAGAATCTGAAACAGGCTCCAGGCTCTGAGCTAGCTGTATAAGACAAGATTTTTAGAGAGAAGGGACATTTTTCATGTAGTTGAGATTTGACCTTAAGACTTCACTAGAGAGCTACACAAAAACTTAGGCAACTGATGAGAATCAATTAAAAAAAACCCGAATAAGGGAGGCACCAGGGTGGCTCAGTTGATCATCCAATTTCGGCTCAGGTCATGAATTCGACTAATAGTTCATGAGTTTGAGCCCTGCATCTGGCTCACTGCTGTCAGCACAGAGCCCACTTTGGATCCTCTGTCTCCCTCTCTCTTCCCCTCCCGCCTGTGCTCTCTCAAAAATAAATATTAAAAAAAATACTGCCTGTGCCAAGAGCTTCCTTCTTTAAAAAATATCTGAATATGGAATATTTAATAAATGCTTTCAGATAGTTTGTTTTCATTTCCTTTCAAATGTCTTTATCAAAATCTCCTGCTCTTCCTACTTCAGATGAAATATAGGGTAAGCAGATAACCACCAAAATGCCCTGGGATATATAGTTTGTAGCTTAGCAAATAAGAAGTCTGGTTTAAATTTTGTGTAGTGTGTGTGCACCAAAACCCAGGACGATGGCTTAAATCTGAAGTGGGCACTGGATAATGGATGATCAACTGTTGAGAGAGGCTAGCTAGGCACAGCCATATGAAATAAAAAACTTCCTATAACAGCATAATAATGATGTTTCTTTCTATCCCTTGGTGTAATAGGATAGTCTTACTTGTTTCCTTTTCCAACAATACTTTTGAACTACCTTAGACATCATCTTTCTTATATATTGGTAAAACAGAATAAAGACAAAACATAAAATTCATTTTGACTTGCAGCTCTGTTCTTAACAAGCCCATATTCTCAGTGCCAGGCCAATGTGATGACATCAAATACCCACTCAAAAAAAAAAAAAAAAAAAAGCATTTGAGCGTTCGAACATATAGATTTTTCCTTACAAGCAACTGCATGTTTTCAGACTTGTAGATGATCTCTGGGATCCTGGAATGTCCTGATAGAAGTGTCATTGTTTGCTTGGAAGCTTTGGCCACCAGATGGTCTGCCAATGTAAGTTATGATGGGGGCTTTGGGACATACCAGTTGTGACCTCTGGAGGAACTGGAGACTAAAGGTATGAGCTCAAACCTTCAGAAGAAGCTGGAGACTAAGTGATCAGCCTCATGGGAAGAATGTGATTGAGTCCCAGGAAAAACTCTGGCAACCAAAGGCTCAGGCAAACTTCCCTGTGGGGATTATCAGGTCCTAACCAGGAAGAGGTAATGCCATTTCTGATGCTATAGGAGAGGATGACTGGCAACTCCACATTTGGATATCTCCCACTGTTTGCCCTGTGCATCTCTTCCTTTAGCTGACTCTAATTTGTATCTTTTCACTGTAATAAAACTAATCATAAGTGCACTGAGTTCTGAGTGCACAGAATCCTGGGTTCTGTGAGTTGTACTGAATTACTGAACCTAAAAGTGGTCATAAGAATTCCTGAATTTGTCAAGAAATCTGTGTTATTCATCACATTGAAAAATTAAAGGAGAAACACATCTTCGTACCAATGGATCTTAAATGGCTTCTGGCAAAATCTAGCCAGCATTAAGTATAAGAGGGATTGAGTGAAATTAGTTACGTGTAACAAAGACTATTTACTCTAAATCAAGAAATATTACACTAAATGTTTAAAGAGATACAGGATTTCCATTAAATTGGAAAAAAGAGAGAAATGTATCCCCACTAATATTCAACTTTATTCTGAAAATGCCAGCTACTGCTATGAGAAGTGTAAATAAAATAAATGTAAATATTGAGGGAAATCATTTCCATTTGCAAATACCATGACCACATGGCAGAAAACATAAGACTAAATATATAGAGTAAGATTATCTAGTAAGGTTGAAAATAAAACTATATCTAAATTTAAAATGTTAGCAAAATAATGAATACCTAAACACAAATGAAAAAGATGCTCAACTCCCTTGTTTTTAAAATTTTTTTTAATGTTTATTTATTTTTGAGAGTCAGAGAGAGCACAAGTGAGGGAGGGGCAGAGAGAGAGGGAGATACAGAATCCAAAGCAGGCTCCAGGCTCTGAGCTGTCAGCACAGAGCCTGACGTGGGGCTCAAACCCACGGACTGCAAGGTCACAACTGGAGCCGCAGTCAGATGCTTAACCGAGCCACCCAGGCGCCCCTTAACTCACCTGTAATCAGGGAAATTAAATGTTGAAACCAGTAACAGAAGAAAATATGGATGCTCATTTCAATGATTAAAGGGATTCAAAATTAGTGCAGTATTGTAGAACAAGAATATGTAGAGCTGATAGTATATACAGCTGACAGTGAACAATTTCACTTCTAGATATGCACCTTATATTCTTCACTTATTAAAGAAATCAGAAAACACACAAAATGATATTCAATATAGCCTTTTTAATACAATGAAAAATGGTTTATGTCTTAATCACTATTTAACAGACCATTTAAGCATGTTTAATATATACATATCAAGGACCAAGCTAAAATATTTTACATTCTACAGAAAAGCACAAGCCCTCAATTCAAGCAGGAAGCTTTCAGAATGATGTGAGCTGCAAAGAAAAGTGCCCTTCCTTACCTCCTCTCGACACACCCACTCACCATAATGTCTGAAACGATGCCCTTGAGACATTCATTGTGGTAATGGAAGCATCTACCAAAGTGGTTCACGTTGTAAAGACGGTACAAGATACTGGGAATGAGAATTTCACAATGAAGTAAATCTGGGGTAACCTGTGTTAAATAAAAAAAATCTCTTTACTATATCTTTTGACAAACTGATACTGTGTACTTGGATTTCCCCAAAGGTAGATTTTTTATGCTTTACTGTGTTCACACATTTTTCAGAGATACCATTTTCCCCCAAATACCAAGGACTAGTATTTCCCAAAACAAGCTTATGGACAATGTTGGGTTAAGGCTTTACGCTCTGTTAAACACTGGTCTTCTGGAGATATCTGATACTTGGGAAAGGCAACACATGGACTTATGAGTCAAGAAAGATTTTGTAATAAATTCTAAATATACCTTATTTAGAATTATGATTAATAGGATCTTCATAAATGAAAGTGGTCTAGATTTTGCTTTTTAGGAGCGATCTTCATCTAGATTTGTATCAGGATTATTTTAACTGTGCAGAATTAATTGGCAGAATTTTGTGAAGGATTATCTATTCCTTAAAGCTTTCACCTGTACAACCATCAGATTTTTTTTCTTAAGCAGGTAGTTCATATACACACACATTCGTTTGTTGGTCTATTTGAGTCAACTGTCATAATGGAATCCTATAGAAAAAATAAGTAACCCCTTTATATTTTATGTACTAGAATACATATAGCACATATAATATAGTATTACCTTATAATTAAAACAAAATTTTGATAGTCTGTAGCTATGCCACCTTTGCCAATATTCTAAATGTGTATCTTTCATTTTCTTTTTCTTGATTAGATCTTCCAAAATCTAGTCATTGTTAACACTGGATTAATTCTTCTACTATTTAGTCCTTAACTTCTATTTTTAGTTGTGCTCTGTTTCTCATGTATAGGTTTTATTTTGTTCTGTTTCTGGTTTCTTGACATAAATACTTACTCATTCCCTTAACACATTTATTTATGTGACACGCCCTGTGTTGACTGCTGAGGATAAGGTGAAGATGATGAAGACTGGACCCACAAATGAAATTTCCTTAATGCACTAAAGGGCATTAATTTCTCACTGAACAGAATTCTGGTGACATCTCACAAGTTTAGATGCACATATTAGCAATTATTTCTAAGTCTATACACTCCAGGTTTGTTTTTAAACATTTTATTACTGAAACTTTCAAGTACATTAAAAAATAGAAAATATTAGAACAATGAGCCCCCCCTCCCCAAGCAAACCACTACATGTCAGTAATTAACATTTTACTAATCTACTTCCCAACTCTCTGTGCCAATTCTTTTTCTTTTGCTGGAGTCTTCTAATGGAAATGTGGTATCTTACCATTTCATAAATATGTAAGTATGTATCTCTAACACATAGAACCGTTTATTTTTAAATAACCACACTGATATTATCCCTAACAAAATGAGTATTTCTAAATATCGCTTAATACTCAGTGTGTGTCCACATTTCCCCCAGTGTCTCCAAAATGTCTTTTTACATTTTGTTCGAACTAGGTCCAAGTAATGCCCACGTACTGAATTTAGTTGATAGGTCTCTTAGGTTTCTTTTAATCTATTAACAGTTGCCCTTCCCTTTTCTTTTTCATACCGCTCATTAGTTGAAGAAATCAGGTCATTTGTTTTGTAGAATTTTACACATTCTAGGTCTGCTTGGCTGCTTCCCTGTGGTGCCATTTACTTTGTTCAACTAGTCCCAAAATTCTTGTTTTAAAGAATTTGATTTAAAGGTTTGCTTTCTTCAGTTCATTTTTTGGCAGTAAGGCTTTGTAGGTGGTGGTATGTACTTCCTACTGCATTTTATCAGGAGATGGATATTGTCTGATAGTCCCACTTTTATAGAGGTTTAAAATTGATCAAAGGGCTCAGAGGTGGTCAGCTTGATAAATCCACTGTAAAGTTCTCGCTACAAAATATTTCACTCAGTAGTTTTAGTATCCACTGAAGATCATTTTCTGGACCCGTTATTCCACTAGGGAACTAGAAAATGGTGATTTTCTAATCCTAGCATTCTTTCTGTGTTTATTGGCAATATTTCTTTAAAAAAAGACTTAATTTGATGAGCTTTTGGTGGCTCTGAAATGTGGTTCACATGGAAAAAGCAAAATAAGTGCTCATTTTTCTTCTTATCAATTTTCAGGATGAGTTGGTGCCCAAGCATCTTCCATTGCTGACCAAACTGTGTAGCTGTGACCAAGTTAAACTATCAAACTAGTAGGGGGATCATGTCAAAAGACCCAACTCCCACTGGTTGAAGATGGGGCAATTTGAACATCAAACAGTATACTGACTATAAAGCAATGTTTTTTCTTTTATACAAGAGTTTTATATACACACACATACACGCGTGCGCACACACACACGATATTAAACTTCCAACTGGTTACTTTCCCCTTTCTGCCATCTTAATAGTTTCTAATTTGTCTTTAACAGTGGTCAGGCAACAGGGATTGCAAAACATTTACTTTTTAGAATTTACTATGGGAAACTAATTCCATTTTTCTGACTCTTCAACAGTTGTACTCGTAACTTCACCTTCATGAAATTCACAAGGTTGCTTTTCAGCATGAAATTACTGATGCAGCTCAAATGATGAAGAACTTCTCACATTCAATACAATCTCCTAGATTTTTTCTGGAATAAATTATCTTAAGTTTAATTAAGTGCTGAGCAGTGACGTGAGACATTTCTATATTTACTACTTCTATAGTATATTCTTTCATATGAATTCACTAACACTAATGACAACAACTGTAGATAATATTTATAGAAAACATGCTATGTGGCTGCTATTTTTCCAAGCATTAACTACTTAATCCTCAAGACAATCCTGTCACATAGTGTGGCAGGCTGACTCTGAAATGGTTCTACATTGTGGTATTCATCTTGTGTAATCCTCTATAATCTCTACCCTTGAGTGTGGGGTAGCCTAGTAACTTGGTTCTAACCAGTAGAAGACAGCAAAAGTGTTATTTTGGTGATTAGATCACATAAGATTATAGCTTCTGTGATGCTAGCAGGCTCTACCACATTCTTGGCTTGCACACTTAATAAGTAGCCATTTGAAGAAGCCTATGTGGCATGGAACGAAGGTCAGCTTTCAACCAACAGCCAGCTAGAAACTGAAGACCTCAGTGCATCAGCTGACAACCATGTGAGGTTGAAAGTTGATCCCTTTCCCTGTTAAACCTTCAGATGAGACCCAACCCTGGCTTAAACCTTTAGTTTAGCTTTATGAAAGACCCTAAAGGAGAGGACCCAACTAAATTATGTCCAGACACCTGACCCATAGAAATTGTGAGATAAGTATTATTTTAAGCTACTAAGCTTGTGGTAATTTATTACACACCAATAAATAACTAATATACATAAGTACTATTATCACCATTTTACAAGTGAGCAAAATGAGGCACAGAAGTTTAAGTACCTTGTCCAATAACACACTGGTAATAAAGTAGTGAAATGGGGATAATGATAGATAAGGCTAAAGTTTTCCCTACATTCATTATATTACTCCCTCAAATGAATTTGTCGAAGATAAACAATGTCTGAATGGTGATGAAAGGTTTTTAAAGCAATAATATTTCTTTCCAATAATATAAAATTTCTTTGCTTAAAGCATGAAACAAATTTCTCAAAAATGAATTTCCTGATATTCTGTAACATAATGTACAATTGAAGCCTTCTTGTTTTAAACTCCATTATGAATTTTCTGATGTTGAGTAAGGTGTGAATGTTGCCTAAAGGCCTTCTTACATTCCTTACATTTGTAGGGTTTCTCCCCAGTATGAATTCTCTGATGTTGAGTAAGGAATGAATAAAGTCTAAAAGCCTTACCACATTCCTTACATTCATAAGGTTTCTCACCAGTATGAATACTCTGATGCTGAGTAAGTTGTGAGAGCAGTCTAAAAGGTTTTCTACATTCCTTGCATTCATAAGGTTTCTCACCAGTATGAATACTCTGATGTTGGGTAAGCTGTGAGAGCAATCTAAAGGCCTTCCCACATTCTTCACATTCATATGGTCTCTCACCAATATGAATGCTCTGATGTGAAATAAGTTGTGAGTAACTACTAAAGGTCTTCCAGCATTCCATACATTCATAGGGTTTCTCACGAGTATGGATTCTCTGATGGCGAACAAGTTGCTGCCTTAGTCTAAAAGTCTTTCCACACTCCTTACATTCATAGGGTTTCTCACCAGTATGAATACTCTGATGGACAGTAAGTTGTTGGCATATTCTAAAAGCCTTTCCACATTCCTTACATTCATAAGGTTTTTCACCAAAATGAATTTTCTGATGTACTCTAAGGTCTGGACCACATACAAAGGCTTTCCCACATTCCTTACATTCATAGAGTTTCTCAGCAGTATGAAGTCTTTGATGTCGAGTAAGGTGTGTACACTGCCTAAAGGTCTTCCCACATGCCTTACACTCATAGGGTTTCTCACCAGTGTGAATTCTCTGATGTCGAGCAAGTTGCTGATGCACTCTGAAGGCTTTTCCACACTCCTTACATTCATAGGGCTTTTCACCAGTGTGAAGTCTCTGATGTTGAGTAAGTTCTTGGAGCACTGTAAAGGCTTTCCCACATTCCTTACATTCATAGGGCTTCTCACCAGTATGAAGTTTGTGATGTCGAATAAGGTGTGCACGCTGTCTAAATGCCTGCCCACATTCCTTACATTTATAAGGTTTCTCACCAGTATGAATTCTCAGGTGTTGACTAAGTGTTGAGCGACGAATAAAGGTCTTCCTACATTCCTTACATTCATACAGCTTTTCTCCATTATGAATTCTCTGATATTCAGCAAGAAAATTATGCTTTTTGTAAGTGGTCATTTTTTCAGAAGTTATTTTCACTTGCCCAAAATATCCTTCTTGTGGTTCCTTATGCTCCTCAATCTTGCTTTTGCATTCCCAATCATTTCTGAAAAGGGAGTCCTGAAGACTATAACTTTTAATTCTTTCCATTATCTCCCACTGGAATGAATATATTTCATAAATGTCCTTTTCTGGAGATAAAATATTGGTCCTGTATCTGGACTCCAAATCTGAAAGAAAACAAGGCAAACACACACTGTTTTCCTGTGACAGAAGAAAGCTTCTACAGAGAAATAAAAGGCACCTAAAATAATGCCTATTACAAGTGAATGGATTAGGTATCTCTAAAATAAGCATTTCTGCTACAACACCACATATGTGTACTAAAAAAAATCCCTTATCTTCTGCAAAATTACACACCAAAAAATAAAGACTTTATGAAGAAAACAGCTGGAGAAAACCACTCAAACCTACACAACTTTATTGGCAGAGCACTAACAAACAAAATAATTGATATCCCAAGAGATAATCCAAAAGGCGGCTCGATATGGCTGAAGGCCTCTTCATGGATACTAAATGCCCAAAAATAAAGTGGAAATGGTGGATTTCAAGTGCTGAGACATCGCAGTGAAGAGAAAAAAAAAAGAGAGAGAGAGAGGAAAAAACAAAAAACAAACCCTGAGCCAGTAAGGTTACCATTAAGGTGGGAATAGGGTGGGGCGCCTGGGTGGCTTAGTCGGTTAAGCGTCCGACTTTTGCTTAGGTCATGCTCTCGCGGTTAGTGGGTTCGAGCCCCGCGTCAGGCTCTGTGCTGACTGCCAGCTCGGAGCCTGGAGCCTGTTTCAGAGTCTGTGACTCCCTCTCTCTCTGACCCTCCCCTACTCACGCTGTCTCTCTCTCTCTCTCCTAGAAATAAATAAAACATTAAAAAAAAAAAAAAAAAAGGTGGGAATAGGGTAAAATGTAACCTGCCTTCAGCTAGAAGCCATACAAGGTTGATGGTATGATGGTATATATCTCTGGGGAGACAGCCCTGGGTGCAGACACTTAATAATATTCTTCATGTAGAGGTGAAAGGGCATCCAACAATAAAGCATCAAGTTGAAGGCTTCTGCCTTTCCCGCTGAATCTTATAAGTTTACTTCTAGTCTGGGTTCATTCAAGCAGGAAAATTACCTGTGAATCAACTAACTTTCATATTGTACTGTTATCATTCTCTATTCCATATCACTATTCAGCTCATTTGTATTGTGAGTTATTAATTATATTATGGAACAGACTGTATTCTCCTACATTAAAAAAAAAAAAAAGGTAAAGGAAACAGAGAATAGAGTCCAGGATTGGAGGTAAGGTTGGTGATTAGGGATACAAGTTAAATCAGTCTAAGAATCACCTGAAGATTTCTTAAAACTATACAGAGGTATTTTTTTAATACATTTTTTTAAAGTTTATTTATTTTTGAGAGACAGAGACAGAGCCTGAGTTGAGGAGGGGCAGAGAGAGGGAGAGAGAGAATCTGAAGCAGGAGCCAGGCTCTGAGAGCCTGGCGCATGGGGCTCAAACCCACAAACCATGATATCACGACCTGAACTGAAATAGGACGCTTAACCACCTGAGCCAGCAAGGTGCCCCTATACAGAGCTATGTTTAACTGACTGAAACATAATCTGCATGATTGAGTCCTGGGCATGTTTATGTTTTGTACTTATTTATATTCTCCAGCAAATGATTCAAATGTTGATTAATATTTGAGTCTCTCTACTTAAATGTTTTTAATGATTTCTCTTAAAATCTAAAAGTATCTATGATTTAGATTTCTCTAAAATCTAAAAGAATTAGAATTAAATATAGATACCTAAGCATAGATAATAAGACTTCTGCTTATCAAAACTCCCCTCTCATTTACTCTCTGTTCAAGCCACAAGCCTCTTTTCAGCTCACAAAAGGTACTACCACTGTCCCCATTAAATAGGATCATTCACAGGTTGTTCCCAACTGCATGGTTGGCTACCCTTCATCATCAAGTCTCAACCAACAATCACTTCAGAAAAGCTATTCCTGCTGATCCTGTTTAAAACTCTATTCCAGCAACTAGTTGCTCTTCTTTTTCCCAATTTTGGAATGTTTATTACTTTTCTCATTTGTTATTGTTAGTTTCTTACCCCTAAGCTTTCTTAGTGGCAGAAGCAATCTCTAGGTTCATTTACCATTAAATAACAAACCCCATTTAAGAAACAAAACAGACGAACATATGGGAAGGGAGGAAAAGAGGAGAAGGAAACAAAACACGAGAGACTCTTAAGGACAGGAAACAAACGGAGGGTTGATGGAGGGAGCGGGGTGGGGGATGGGCTAGATGGGTGATGGGTATTAAAGATTATACTTGTTATGAGCACGGAGTGTAGTATGCAAATGATGAATCACTGAATTCTGTAACACTAATATTACTTACACTGTATGTTAACCAAAATTTAAATAAAATAAAAATATACAAATAAATAACCCCAAATATACAATAGATGTTACTGATTTAATTCCCATAATTACATAATCACTAACAGATATGTACTTCTGTTTCTAATCTTCTATTTATTATTTTTAAATGTTTATTTATTTTGAGAGAGGGAGAAAGTGAGCAAGGGAGGGACAGAGACAGAATCTCAAGAAGGTTCTGCACTGACAGATGCAGGGCTCGAATCCACGAATCTCAAGACTACAGCCTGAGCAGAAATCAAGAGTCAGATGTTTAACCTACTGAGATACCCACGCGCCACTCTAATCTTTTAAAATGTACTACAATAGGGGTGCCTGGCTGGCTCAGTCAGTGGAGCATGTGGCTCTTGATCTCAGAGTTGTGTTTGAGACCCACATTGGGAATAAAGTTTACTTAAAAAAAAAGTGCAATGATTTACTTGTCTCTACTAGAGCTTATACTATTATCGATGCTACATTTGCTCAAATTTTTGTTTCTTCATACATCCTCTAGGTGCTCCTTCCCATTCCTGCATACCCAAAGCAATTTTTGTACTTTCCAAAAAACTATCTCAAACATTTTTTAAAATGTTTTTATTTATTTATTTATTTCTGAGAGAGAGAGAGAGACAGAGTGAGCAGGGGAGGGTCAGAGAGAGAGGGAGACACAGAATCTGAAGCAGACTCCAGGCTCTAAGCTAGCTGTCAGCACAGAGCCTGATGCAGAGCTCGAACCCACGAATCGTGAGATCATGACCTGAACCAAAGTCAGAAGCTTAACCGACTGAGCCACCAACACGCCCCTAAGTGTCCAACTTTGGCTCAGGTCATGTTCTCACAGTTCTTGAGTTCGAGCCCCATGTCAAGCTCTGTGCTGATAGCTCAGAGCCTGGAGCCTACTTCAGATTCTGTGCCTCCCTCTCTCTCTGCCCCTCCCCCGCTCGCACTCTGTCTCTCTCTCTCAAAAATAAACAAACATTAAAAAATTAATATTAATATCTTCACAATATTGGAAGGATATAAAGGAGCTAATTTAAGGCACAGTGTAGTAAGTGTTTTAATCTCTAGGGCAACTATGAGAAGAAAGATAAACATGTAACTAACATATCCAGGAGGTAAAAGCTAAAATCAATATGCTTGATTCATCCAGAAAAGGCAGGAAAGGGAAAAAAGAATAAGTTGGACAAACAAAAAATTAGGAAGATAGTAGATTTAAGCCTAAATATATTAAAAAAATACTTAAATACAGGTGAATAAAATACATCAATTAAAAGGCAAAGACATTTCTCATCCATATTGGGGGAAGGAAGCTGTATGGAGAGTCCAATCTGTAAAGTGGGCATCTACCCATGGGAGCAGCCTCAGGCAGGTTGTTGAAATCCAAGTGAGGTGAGGAGAATATCCAGAGAGAGGAGCAAAACAACATGTATTGGACAAACCTACCATGAATCTAACTCAACCTCCCACCACTACCATTTCAATCAGAATTACCATTATCTTCAATTAAGACAGATGAAATAGGGGCGCCTATCGTTGAAATAGGTGGCTTAGTCGGTTAAGCGTCCGACTTTCGCTTAGGTCATGATCTCACGGTTCGTGGGTTCGAGCCCCGCGTCAGGCTCTGTGCTGACTGCCAGCTCAGAGCCTGGAGCCTGTTTCAGAGTCTGTGTCTCCCTCTCTCTCTGACCCTCCCCTGTTCACGCTGTCTCTCTCTCTCCTAGAAATAAATAAAACATTTTAAAAAAATTAAAAAAAAAAAAAGACATGAAATAGCCTTCTAATTGGTCTTCCTACTTCCCACCTTGTCCCTATTCAATCTGTTCTCCATAGAGTGATAATTATAAGATGAATCAGCTTCTTCTGCTCAAAAATTTCCAATGCCTTTCTATAAGGCATTTAAAAGTCACGTGCCTTGGGGTGCCTGGATGGCTCAGTTGGTTAAGCGTCCAACTCTTGATTTAGCTCAGGTCATGATCTCATGGTTGTGAGATCAAGTCCCATGTTGAGGTCTGCACTAAGTGTGGAGCCTGCTTGAGATTCTCTCTCTCTGCCTCTGTCCCTCTCCCCAACTCGCACTCTTTCTCCAAAAAAAGAGGTGGAGGCTCCTGGGTGGCTCAGTTGGTTAAGTGTCCAATTCTTGTTTTCAGTTCAAGTCATGATTTTATAGTTTGTGAGTTCTAGCCCTGCATCAGGCTCCAGCACAGACCCTGCTTGGGACTCTCTCTCTCTCTCTCTGCCCTCCCCCACTCACTCTCTCTCTCAAAATAAATAAACTTAAAAAAAAATGTTTTTTAAGTCATGTGACTTAACTTTGGATAATCATCCTAGTCATCCTGGCCTTCTTGTTTTTCCTCAAACATACAAAACTTCTGACTCCTAACCTAAGGCCCTTGCATTTGCTGTTCTACCAGAACTGGTTTTTTTTTTTTAATGTTTATTTGAGAGAAGGTGAGGGATACAGTGCAAGTGGTGGAGGGGCAGAGAGAGAGGAAGACACAGAATCCAAAGGAGGCTCCAAGATCTGAGCTGTCAGCACAGAACCCAACGTGGGGCTCGAACTCACAACTGTGAGATCATGACCTGAGCCCAAGCCAGATGCCCAACCGACTGATCCACCTAGGCATCCCTAGAACTGCTCTTGCTTTAGATATTTTTATAACCTAAGCTCTTTTTCATATCTCCACTCAAATATCACCTCCTCAAGAAGCCTGACCAGCTTAAAATACACCTGCCTACACCTGCTCACTTCTATTCTCTT